TACAGTGTTTTAATGTAAATGAAGGGTAAAAAAAGCAGAGTGATGTTTCTGAGACCTTGGGGTTTGTTAAAATGTTGGCTCAGGCTCAGCCTCCTGAATGCCCCAAGAACCAAGATGTGTGAAAGCAAATGGGTCAGGGGACGATGCCTTTTGACCTTTTGGAAATGCATTCAGCTGAGCACGGAGTAGGATATAGGACAAACATTTGATAGAAGCATCACCCAGTGCTGCATGTAACTGACTGAACAGGTGGAATCATTAGTCTGGATCACATCCCAGGAGGTTTTTATGATGATTTTTTTTAAATGTGCCCATGTTCTTTCTGAGCAGAGTTGACTCAGTGGCTTCCAGGAACAGGAGTGTAATGTCGTTCCAGGGTCCTTACCAGTAGATCTTCCTTTTAGTCATATGATACCATGCACTAACTTCAAGTAGTCACATAGTTTGTTGTAGCTAAACAAGTTGTCCATTTTTTGTCCAAAATTGAACAATTTTGCTTTCTTCTTAATAGAAAGTGTGTATATGGGTGAGGAAAACAACAGGAGATACACCCCCCTGCCCTGCTCTGTCCCTGCCAAAGGATAGGTGTGCTCATTGCTCCGGGGTGGTCTATCAAGGTGGTGATAAAACTGCCTTTGGAAACACACAAAAGGAATTTAATTCATTCCACCACCTTTCCCTATTACGGCAGAATTCTCAATTTCTTCCTAACCAGAAATTTTCTCCCTAAAACTAATGTTGCCTGCAGGTTGTGAAAATCTCTCATGAATTACTGGATTGAGCAGTGCAGGAGGAATATAATGAAGAAAAAGATATGCTTAGTGGATGGGATGGGAAAAAGGGTTGTCACTGAAACATCAGAGCCTGTGTTAGAAAAGGAGAAGAAAAACTTGGTGGCTCATCTGGTTAAGCTCATGCAAGGGTTTTGCATTGCAATTATTGCTACCGTGTTTCATCCCGAAAATAGAGAAGAATGGATTTATGGTAAAACAATGGATTGGGACTCACGTCTCCTGAGTGTTATTTTCTGACTGTCAGAGGTTTGGTTCTAACCTTGGAGCACTTCTCATATCTGTATGTCTCACTTCTTCCTCATCTATAATGACAATAGTACTCCTCTGAGTACTCCTTTACTTCAGAGTGGGCAGAAGAGGAACAGTATTTTGATGTACATGAGGTCCTTATATGAAATAGTAGTAGGTATTATAAAAGGGCCTAAATAGACAGTCAAGTCTTAGAAGTTCTTGGGCAAAGGAGCTTTTTATACAACACCCGAGGTGCAGGCACCAAGAGTTGTCTGTGACAACCCACTGTATTCTCTGACTTGCTCTGATTCTGTGTTTGACCACAAGTTACAGGGGCTGAGTGATCCCTGAAAACTGAATGGCCATGGTGACAATCGCAGAAGAGGGTCAGCAAGAACCTTTGAGTGCAAAAGAGTCATGGGTGCTGCAGTCTTCAAATCAACACCTTGAAGCCTGAAAAGGAAATTTTAAGGCTTTGTGAAAATTATGCCTAATTCTTTGTGATGGCTGTTGTGCTGTAGAGGAATGAAATGGATGGTTGGGGGAAGGGAATAGGTTTGCATTCTGTGGGGCTATGAAGACAGTTTCCTTGCATCCTTCTCAGCTCAGTCCTTGCTCGGTACCCTCTGCGGTTAGATTATTCCTTGCAGATAGCAATCAACTGGAAGGAAGTGTGTGTCTAATTTGCATGAGATTATTTAAAACAAAAAAAAAGGTCTGCATTAGTCAGGGTGATGGTAAACAACGCAAAGAGATGCCTTTTATAATATAGCTGTGGCTCAGCTTTCAAAGCCAAATATAATTCACTTACAATTGGCAGTTTCCTTTATTGTTCCTTTTAACCTTTTGCGTTCTGCATGGTCTTGATCTTGCTGCAACTCCAGAAGAACTAAAAGGTTTGTTTTCCAAAGTGTTGAGAAGGTGGATTTAGACCCATTCTTCTGTTAAACTGAGACATACCTATTTGAGAATTATATTAGACACAAAGGTCCAGTGTTTGTGGCACTGCCTTTGCATCCAAGGGAATCTTCCTGCTAGATTAGAACAATGAATGGACCATGGACACTTTTTGATATAATGCAGTAAGAGAAGGACTTTGAGATATTGGAACAGCTGACACTTTGATCTGGTTTAGAAATTCCCACTTTCCTATGTAATTAATATATCAAGATTGAATAATCTGGGGCATGGAAAACTCATACAGTGTGCATACATGTGTGTAGAGGGTGAATCTGAAAAACATCCAGTCCAAAGGGAATTTTGATGAGTTGTAATTGCCTGAGGACAGTCTCAGAATGTCTTGTACGTTTTTGTTCCTGTGTGTGAGAAATGACAACCATGAAGACAGGTATATCTCTGAATCCACAGATGACTAGTTGCAGTGCAGACTCACTCCATATATATGCTTAAGGAATCAGCTCCAGGAGATTATTCCCTTGATGCTTGGAGGCCAAGATGACAGGGCCTTAAAAACATCTTGTTTGGATGAATAAAAAGGTGTTCCAAGGTGATGGCAGTCCCAGGCCTCTCCTCTGATAATTAAGAAGGGATGTAGCTGTTATGTTCTTTTGTACCATGAACAAGACCACTTCACAAGGCAGCAGAATAGTCCAGGGATGTAATACCAATTTTAATTTGCACTACTTTGCACAGGATTCAAACAAATTCAAATATGAAAGGTTTTCCATCATTCTGTGATTCACATCAGTTTTTTCTCCGCAGTACAGCAGGGGTTTAATGGAAACAGTGATACTTGAGTGTCCCTAGTTGGCAAGGCCAGAATAATCCTAGGAGTGTATTTTATCTCAAACAGGATGAGAACAGAAGGGGCAGTATGGTTAGGAAACAATAAGTATTGTTTCTTGCTCTTTCTGTAGAATGAGTTAAGGATCCTCCATAACTTCTGTGTGTTTCTAAGTGTTAAATATTATCAGATTTGCATGGAAGTAGGACAAAATGCCCTATTTTAGTGGGAGTCACGTTTGCAGCCAGCAGCTAACGTTGTCTCCATCTTTGTGAAATTCCATACTTGCTAGTGATCTGCGATGTTGGCATGTGTTTATGCTTTCTCCTACATTGGATAATTAGGAGCTGGTTAAAACAGTTTCTTTCTGATTAGGACTTTTTAACATGGCTTAGACACCATAAATATTGCTTTTGTGACTAGAACAATGGGCTGAGTTGTGTTCCTGTGCCTTTTATTACTCTCACTGCAAGTCTTGTTCCATACTGTTAAGTGGGGTTTGGTTCCTTACTGTTTGAGGCATGTATCAAATACAACTAAAGGGATTGCAGGACCAGAGATCAGGAACTTCAGATATCTGATGCTGTTTCTGACACTGACAATATTCTGTCGTGTTAGAGAAATCACCTCATTTCTCTGTGCAACAGCATTTGCACTGTAAAGTAGATAGAATAGTATCTGGCAAGAACTCACAGTATCTCATGTACTCACAGGAGTAGGGAAAAGATCTGTTAATAGTTATAAAGCCTTCTGAATACCAGAAGCACTGTGCTAGCACTTTATGATATTAAATAGCAGTCCTGAGACAGACTTGTATATTTATTTCTGGCAATACTGTTTGTGCTACAGATTATTCCGTTCTAGAACCCCAGTATGCAGTGAAGTTTAAGATCATGAAAAAAATCATCAAAACTTAGGTCATGCACCCAGAAGCCTGCCTATTTTCCATATTGTGTCTCCCTTATGTTAAAAAGCCAAGTGTTCTAAAGGATTAAGTTGAGGATTTTCATCTACCAGCAGTACTTCATGGATCTTGAGTGGAGGTGATGGAAAGCGTTCCCCCGTTTTTCTCCCACTGCTGTCATATTCATACCATTTTCCTCACTGCCTCACATTTGTTCTCACTTCCAACCTTTCCGAATGTTTTTGCATACATGCTGCCTGTGTAAGCGAAAGGTCCCGAATCACTTCATATGTTCCTTGTAGCAGGGACACTGGCTTTTTACCTGCTTCTGTGCAGGAGAATAATAACTAATACACAACTGTCCAGGCCCCACGTCATGGTTGCCATCTGAGTACTGAATTCTTCTTCTAGAGGATGTTTTCTCCTGTTGGGAAAAAATAATCCAGCTGTGCTTCCTTCTTTACAGATGCTGGTCATCATGGATCCTTTAGCTGCTTTTGTTTTCCCCCTTGTTGGCCAAATCCTTTCCATATGTTGTGGCCAATTAAAGATGGTCATCCTGGCATTTCCTGATGGCAGGAGTGACTGCACCAACATGTACCATGTGTGCAGCGTTACTACAGCTCTGTGAAATAAAAGCCAGGCTGCCTTAGGGCAATCTAATCACGCAGCAATAGGCCGGGGCAATGCTAACGCTGAAAGTTTAGGCTTGGCCTTGTTTTGATCTGTTTTGTTATAGTTTTATTTCCTCCTTACATTCTGTGTCCCATTCATACTAATCACAGTCAGTCCTGATTTTTTTCCTTTTTATTTCTGCATTTGTCATAAAATAAAGCAAATTATTCCCGTCTTCGGAAACGATGTAGACTAATTAGTCGTCTAACCCAATAATTAGGTTTTTGTTTCCCTGTCTGTTTTCATGCATTATTGTTAGTTTTTTCCCCTCTTTTTTTTTTTTACACCATTACAGATTAAAATGAGCCACATTTGCAGTTGATGGTATCTTTTTTTCGGGGGAAGAATGGAGAATTGCAATAGAAAGCTACTTCAAAAGCAGCAATAAACTCAAGGATAAATTAAGGAAATTGAATGAGCCACATTTGGAAGCAGCGTTGAGGCTAATATTCTGTCGCTTAAGGTTAAATTGCAACAGAGAAAGAGAGAGGGAGACATTCCAGTGAATCCAAAACTGGGGAGGCATTACTGCTCAAGTCAGTGCCAAAATCCTTTGCAGCTTGAAAGGGTTCTGCCTGGCTTGAGAATTTAATTATGCGTGCATCAAGTGGGTAAAGGTGCTAAACTGATTTCATTTCCTCTGCTCCCCCAGGCCTGACAGATGAAGAAATTGACCTGGCTTTCCAGCAGTCAGGCACAAGCACGGATGAGCCACAGTCCCCAGGTCCTTCTACACAAGTGGTGCCAGCTCAGCCCTCTCACCCGGTGGTGTATAGTAAGTAACACTTTGAAAAACATCTGGTTCTGTTTCTTTCTGCAGTGAGCTCTCCAGCAATTTCACAGATTTCTGTGCCAGATCCTGGATTTCAGGTCAAATAATGCCATACTGTTTGTCAGAATTGGACCCCAAATGTTACTTCAAATGCTCTTTGTAGTTGTTGATGCCCATGACAAGATCGTATTACCCAAGGAAAAAGAGATACAAATGATCATTGTCCACAAACAAACATCATACATACTAGCCTGTGACACCCCTTGACCTGAAGGGGTATAGTCAATGCTAATTAGATTCTCACCCACTATACTGCTTGAAAAAAGCATTTAGTCAGCATAGGACTCAGTCTTCCCTTCTAAGCTTAAGGTCATGCTTCCCTTCATCAGTAGGGTTTTCTAATATTTAGATCATAAATATGTGATAGAGTTGATAGATTCTTGGATAGAAGGTGCTATAAAAGGGCCACACTGTTTCATCTTTATTTATTGCAGCAGTGGACTCTGTTCAATAAGCTGTTGGACATTGACACAAAGTTTTGTTTTAGCTAGAGGACTAGTCAGGCAACCAATTAGTTCATGGGATCATAGAACAGCTCAATTGGAAGGGACCCATAAGGATCATGGAGTCCAGCTCCCTGCTCCTTGCAGGACTAAATAAAATTAAACCATATGAGTAAGAGCATCATCCACATGCTCCTTGAACTCTGACTGTTAATGCCTTGAACAGTTACTTGAAAGAGGTGTATTTCCAGCATGAACAGGAAGCTGGAATATAAGGTCTTTAGAACTTAGTCTGTGACTTCCTGTGTGTGAGTTTAAGGCCAGTCACAATGGAACCTAGAGTGAATGAGCTTTAATAGTGCTGTCAGGTTACAACGAATAACAGGCAGTTAATATGGATCCCTAATTTTAACAAACTCTTCCTCTTCAATCTTAAATAATCTGAGGAGTGACAGCAGAAATTCTGTGTAGATTCGGTGGATGTGCTTGTATGATTTTGTGTACAAAAGACACTCTCAAAGAAATTTTAAAGTCCCAACATAATCTGTGTTGACTCAGAATTTACATATATATTTGCATTTTAAAACAAACCTCGCAAAAAAGTATCTAAGCTCCAAACAATAAAAACCAAAGTACACACCATTAAAAATCCATCAAAAGAAGCTGTTTAGCTCACATGTGTGTCTGGCAGTTTGAAAATCACTTCACTTACCTGCCAAGTATTAAGAATAGGGTTTTGATACTGCTCCTAAAGAACTCTAGGTCAGGTACTGACTGATGTAACAGTCCATTTAGGTCTGTGTTTATTAGTTTATGGCATAGGTTTCCTATTGCTAGAGACAACACTAGACTTGCTTTTTGAGTTTTTAAGTACTCTGGCTTGGCACAGTGTGATGGATTTGGGCTCAGAACTGGGATGTTTCTGGCTGTTGTACTGTGCTGGTGAGCTCAGGACTGAATTCTGCCTCCTGGGCTAATACCTGTCTGCCATAGTTCACAGAAAATGCCAGAAAAGCAAAATCTGCTCTCCCAATGAAAAAACAGTGCCAGATCCCAATCAGTGCTGTCCCTAACTCTTATCACAACCCAATATTGGAAGAGTTAATCTTCCCTTGTTTTATAGTGTTCCACTACTAAGAGTAGGGCAGGAAAGAAGTGTGCAATTCAAACTGGAAAACATTGTCATCATTATTAACCCCTGCAGCTTTATCACTGTATGGGTTTTTCTCCTCTTGCTATTTTGGCTTTCTTCAAAGCCCCCACTCCCAATTTCTTCTTATACTAGGTAAAAATCTTAACTAATATTTAAACACCATAATGTTCCCAGTAACAGCCCCAAAGAGAGGTCTGAAGGTATCGTTCTGTAATGCTCAGAAACCAAAGATGAATAAAAATACCACCAAAGTAAAGCTTTTGTAGGGGTTGTAGTTGTAAAGCAGTGCTCCAGCTTTGTGATCTGATAGCTGCTTTTAAAAACATTTGAACCAAAAGCTTTTGCCTGTGGGTCAGCCCCTTTTAGCAACCCCCAAAATGGGGGAAATGGTGACAATAGATTTGTTTGGTATTGTTCCTCCTCGCTCCAGCCGTTCTTTGTAGACCTTCTATTTAAGTTTAACCTCTTAATGTATGTATAAAAAGAATAAAAACCGAAATATCTGTGTTATTCATTTGACCAAAATACTTGTTTTGATTAGTTGCCATCTGTGCACTATTCTAGTCCTTGACTGGTGTAGTACTGGTGGTGTTAATGATGGATCCATCTTTCTGTCTTCCTGCTATGTGCTTTCCATGGTATCAGAACAGGTGCCTTGTTTGCTGTAGGTTATTTCATCAGTTGGATGATAACCCTGTAATGAATATTTCTGAATCGGTCCAAATCTGCTCCAGGACAGTTGTTTCTGTGACAGTTTACTAAATCAAGTTCTCTTTCACAGATTTGTTAGGGGTTGTCATGTACAGAGAAAGACAGATACTACTTTTTGTCTATCTGTTACACTTATCTTCTTACAGAGTATTCATGACACTAGTGTTGGAATGCTTCAAGGTTTGAAGTTCAAAAGTATATCTGAATGACTAATGAGATCGGTAGACTGCTGAATCTGTAAGTTGACTCGGTGGTGGGAACAGCTCACACTGGAAAAGCTTATATTGAAAAAGATTATGAGCTATATTTGCCTTCCCCAAAAAAGACATCTGAGTTTCTTGTGAAGCACCATCTGATCTGCTGGAGTTTAGGTCTTGAAGTCTGTGAACCACTCTGTGTTTGATATTTTTGGTTCTTTTTAAGTTTTTTTTTTTGGAGTAGTTTTGACACCTCTACAAAAAATCACAAAACTAGAGAGAAAGTCTTACCCCCCACAGAGCAAAAAGGAGAAAGAGCTGAGGAAGGTACTGCGCTGAAAAGCAGTGGCTAGTGCCTTAAGAAACCTACTTTCTTCTCCTTCTCTCCTCCCACAAGGTGTTGCTGCTTCATGTTTAAAAATTATGTTAAAACTCTGGTTTCCAAATACAAAAGTTGAGGATGGCTTCAGAACCATCTCAAGAGTTTATT